TTACCCCTCAAAAAAAAAAAAAAAACCCCCCCCCCCCCCCAAATCATCACAATTGTAAGATAATTTACCAACCCAGATAAGAGAATACCTGAAAGGGTGAACTAGACAACAATAACCCCCCCCCCCCTCCTTTCTCCAATTTGGCATCATAGTGTTGCATCACTGAGGAATTGGAATGACCACGATCAAAATGTTTTCTCAAGTTTTCTATTCATCCGTCTCAGATGTCATATTAGATGGGATGGAGTCTGAGTTACTGCTCACTTCACTCTCCAACTGATTGTCCAGGATTTCCAAAATATTCTCTGGTGGACACTTATCAGCAGGATTCAGTGCTGAAGTCTGGCAGAAACATTCAGGCCAAGAATTAGTGTAGAATGATTCAGGTGACACACGCTTGTGGGGCCCACCAAAATTTGTGTTAAGCATCACAAGCCTCACAGCTTCTTCAAAACCAGATGCTCGCCCTTTCTCCCGATCAATGAAGACAGGGGCAAGGGCCTTCCGATCAGGTCGGATTGTGGTGCGGAAGCCATAGTAGAGGCGATGGCCCAGGAGATTATTAGCGAAGTTGCTTGGCCCATCATAAGTTGGCATGAAAATGTCAGCAAGAAGACAAACCATGTAATCCACAGCAGAGCCTAACAAGCCCTGTGTATTCTTTGCTAGCTCACCAGAAGGGTCCACCGTGCTGTGGTTATCAAGACGTGGGAATATGGACCGAAAAGGTTTCATGAATTGCTCACCACCAAATAGTTCACCAGCTGCAAGGTATATCCTAGTCGAATTGTCAAATCCCATTGCATGTAAGATAAGGCCCACCTGCAGATGGAAGAGCCAATCCATCATTACCCGTAATTACAAAAAATGAAGTTTGAGGCACCCTTCCATTGAAATGACTTTCTTCCAATAAATTAGAACTGGAGGGGATGATCTTGTAAGAAGCACACATCTAGGCCGCCAACCAACTATAATGCTTCGTCAAATTTTCAGAGAATAAGTAGACTATCAGTGAAAGCCATGAGTGTATCAGCAACATTTTCAGTGTTTAGAGTTCAATCCCACATGTGAACCATTAAAATCCCACATCGAAAAAGCAAAGAAACACAGATGGGTCAAGTTTGAGTATAGCTGAGCTTGAGCCTAAAGTCTAAAAGTGGTATCAGAGCCCAACAAATACCATGGCCTATCCTGGAAAAAACAAAGGGTAGCTAGCAAGTGCCATACCAAACAAGTAAACAATATGGGTAGCTAACGAATGTAACACTAAAATGTGGTCCAAGGGGGAGCTAGCAAGTGCTCCACCCTGAAAAAATTTACATGATTCTCATATGAGGGGGAGTGTGGGAACCCAAATTTGAGCCGCTAAAAGAAATCCCATATCGAAAAAGAAAAGAAACAAAGATGCCTCCTTAATCCTTATATACAGGGTTTCGAACAAACAGTCTGAACTAGGGTTTGAACTTTTTGTATCAAGTTTGCATCTGTGTATGAGCCCAAATGGGCAAGAATGAAAGCAAGGATACAAAAATACAGGTTCTACACTTTTCTATACTCAGCAAGATACATACATGGAATTGGAATGATAATTGATCAGAACCTTAAAGAAGATGTAATATGTTGCTCATAAACTAGAAGTAGGATGGAATGAATGGAAGGATGCATTTAATGCATTATCTGGTTGACATATACCTCCTAAAGTGGAACAGATATGCTGATTCTTTGTGGTACAGATTGTTAGGCAGATTAAAAACCAAAAATTCAAAAATCAAGTTTCACCGAAATGCAAATGCTGAAATAGATATATAATAATCAGCCAGAAATGATAGAGCTAGGGATAAACATATTCATAAAATGGTAAAAACAATATTAATAGGAGTTAAATCAGGTGAGTAGATTAATATGTTTGGAATGTGTTGAAATAGACATAAAACTACACCAATGAGAGAGAGTGATGTGATACACATAGATAAGAATGATAAGACCAATGATTCCCTAAACTTAATGTCTATCGAGATAGTAAAGCAGCATATAATAAATTGACATTTAATAAATAATATGATCTTTGCACAAATCACAATAGCGAAACAAGATTTATGTCCAACCCCAGGTAGTTTGGACAAGACTTCATTCAGTTGAGCTGAGTTGGTATATATTAGTAGTTTTGTCAGGTTAGGTCACCTTTTTTATATCCCTAAGCAATATTAATTGGATCGTAGGTCAATCTGGTAAGTGGAACGACACTTTTTTTGATACACGGTGCAGTGGGAGTAGACTTGATTGGTATCCTGGTTCAGTCATTGTTTGCTTTATAACTATTATCGCTATCAGTAGTATATGATATTATGCATAATTATACCATCCCTATACACATAGTTAACTAATATATATTTCATATATGTGATAAGAGTTTCAAACCAAACTATAATCCAAGACAACTAATGATTTTAAATAATAAAAACAAGTGGTAGCATAGTTGTATTATGAAATATAAGTTTATAGATGATCATAATTTGGGATTAGTTGGATTGTGGGATGATTTGGGAATTGAGTTATAATTTGGGATGGGGAATTTGGGTAGTCTCGGTCGCAACACATCCTGTTTCGAGTCATACGAAACCCTGTTCATAGGGGGCTTGGGGTGTATAGGATCACAGTATCTATATTTCTATTCTTTCTTTCTTTCTCAAATTTTGAGTGCTCATCTGCATTTTGATGTAGTGTCCAGTGCATTTCATGATCAACATGTATCAGCCATCTAAACCATGGATTGTGCTTTATCATACTGTAGCGCTCATATTTGCTACCAAGAGAAACATAACTTCTTTTTTCTTTTTTAAGAGTTAAATACTGAGGACGAAACAAAGGCAGGCAGCACTGGGTCTATAAGGTAAAGACTAGGTTAAAACTATTTTTTTGGGGGACCGGAAGGGTTGTCAAATACAAAATAATATATCAACCAGTGANGACCAATGATTCCCTAAACTTAATGTCTATCGAGATAGTAAAGCAGCATATAATAAATTGACATTTAATAAATAATATGATCTTTGCACAAATCACAATAGCGAAACAAGATTTAAGTCCAACCCCAGGTAGTTTGGACAAGACTTCATTCAGTTGAGCTGAGTTGGTATATATTGGTAGTTTTGTCAGGTTAGGTCACCTTTTTTATATCCCTAAGCAATATTAATTGGATCGTAGGTCAATTTGGTAAGTGGAACGACACTGTTTTTGATACACGGTGCAGTGGGAGTAGACTTGATTGGTATCCTGGTTCAGTCATTGTTTGCTTTATAACTATTATCGCTATCAGTAGTATATGATATTATGCATAATTATACCATCCCTATACACATAGTTAACTAATATATATTTCATATATGTGATAAGAGTTTCAAACCAAACTATAATCCAAGACAACTAATGATTTTAAATAATAAAAACAAGTGGTAGCATAGTTGTATTATGAAATATAAGTTTATAGATGATCATAATTTGGGATTAGTTGGATTGTGGGATGATTTGGGAATTGAGTTATAATTTGGGATGGGGAATTTGGGTAGTCTCGGTCGCAACACATCCTGTTTCGAGTCATACGAAACCCTGTTCATAGGGGGCTTGGGGTGTATAGGATCACAGTATCTATGTTTCTATTCTTTCTTTCTTTCTCAAATTTTGAGTGCTCATCTGCATTTTGATGTAGTGTCCAGTGCATTTCATGATCAACATGTATCAGCCATCTAAACCATGGATTGTGCTTTATCATACTGTAGCGCTCATATTTGCTACCAAGAGAAACATAACTTCTTTTTTCTTTTTTAAGAGTTAAATACTGAGGACGAAACAAAGGCAGGCAGCACTGGGTCTATAAGGTAAAGACTAGGTTAAAACTATTTTTTTGGGGGACCGGAAGGGTTGTCAAATACAAAATAATATATCAACCAGTGAAAAGTTGAAAGGCATAATTACTTGATCAATTGAGGGTACATACAGGTGCTCGCAACTTAATAATTTGTAGAAACGACCAGGGTAGAATTCAATGTGCTAAAGGAAACATCAGGTCGTGAAAGGGGGGACAATCGACCAAACAGATTTTCTTTCTTTATGCCTCCGCTATCTTGAAAAAATAAAAGATAAAACAACTTATAATCCATAAAGCATGTATTGATGTCTTAATCACACAAACAAGAATAAAGTCTCATCAGATTTTCAGTTGGTTCAGAACACGGCCTCAAATCATTTCAGGTGTTACAAAAGTTAGGGATTGGAAAGCACAACACCTTTGGGATCCTAAAAGCTCAACTATGACAAGAGTAAAAAATAATACTCCACACTGGATGTAAAGATTATACTCAGCAAGGGTATGCAAATATACCTCTTCTGGGGTAAGCGGGCACTTTCCAATAGCCCTTCTTTCATTATAAACAAGTTTCTTCTCTGCAAAATTTTCCTTCCGATACTTCCTCAATACCTTTTGTTCTTCAGGGGAAAATATATCAAAGCACCTGCATACGATGCATATATAAGAGGAAATATTTCCACTAAATATTTGCATGATCTTATGTTCTGATTGCAACGCAAAACTATTATTTCCAATGAGCAATAGCCAGGTATACCAAAAGTTAAATCCCTGAATGTGACACTCAGTCTGATGAGATTTTCTCAGTAGAATGACTATGTAATTAAGCAAAAAGTATTAACAAAGTGATACATTACAGGTTATAACTGGTGCCTGCCTAGGGAGCCATGTCTCTGTATAACCCCAGGGATAGGAACTCAGTGCCACTCAACTCAGGCTTATACAGAGAGTTTTTTTGAATTTAGGCCTCTAATTTAAAATTTTGGGACTTATCACTTATGATTGACAAAAATTATTTATTATCATTACACAACAATTGCTTTTGCCTTACTAACCTAGCACTTTAAACAGAGGACAACTAGCACAAGAATCTACATAGCCAATAAGGTTAACCAATTTTTTTTGAACTTCTTCCACCCAAACCTCCGCCCCACCAGCCCCAGCCCCAGCTCCAGACCCACTAAAAACCAACAAACCACACCTCACTTTCCCAATCCCAGCACACATGCATCCAGAGCAAGGATTTTTCTGTACATCAAACTATTCGGTGAGAACTTACCCAGCAAACGCCAGCATGTCCATCTCAAAACGAAGATGTATTGCAATAAAGTGACCTTGCGCACGAAGTTTATTGACTATTGTATTACTTAGCTCCATAATATGTGGCTTGAATCTGAGAGCATGATAATTAACTCTGCACCTCAACCGTTGGAACTCAGGGTTGTCAATCTCTTCTGCCAGGCGATGCGAAAAGGGAGTAAGATAGATAGCACCATGTTCCTTCATCTTCTCTAGAGCAACTGTGGTATACCAACTGATAGGAGCATCTCTAGGGGGGCGAATCTGAAACGAAAAGGAGTTGATACTCAAGAATTTGTCATTGTCAGCAACTCAAAGAAGCATGCACTAAAAATTTCACTGGTGCAATAAATTAATTAAGAGTTAAGTTTTACCTGATGAGCTTTTATCTTCTTGGTCTTCCCATTTTTCCGAATATCCGGTATACTTTCCACAATACGTACATCATACCTCAACGACTTGATAAAATGCTCAACATCATAGATACCTTGGAAACCACTGAGCATAAGCATAAAAATAGTGAATGTATATGCGTCCAAAGTTTAACCAAACATTGAATCAGAATGAAATACTCTCTCCAGCAAACAGATGAGTTCAGTTAATATATTCAAACAAAGAAAAAGTTTGCTTATCTGAAGCTTAATATTTGATGATTGGAACCTTTAAGTGCAAAATCATAAGAACCTATTGCTATACAATAATCATAACAAGACTGTCACTCTAAATGGACCAAGTAGCACAGTTACTGTAAGAGAAGAAAAAATGAACCTAAAAGTTATAATTTCTCGATTAACACTCATATTAACTGAACATGACCACTCAGCAACCTTCAATAAAGCCTTCCAATTACTCAGAATGTAAAAGAAAGAAACATAAAATATGTCAGGACTTAACGTCACTAGTCACTAATACAATAATGACAGTGATACCGCTCATAAACAGTAACTCATTGAAATAATTAGAACCACATCTGTTTCGATAACTTATTAAAGTAATTCAATTTTTCCCTGCCAATAGTATAAGCAACTATAACAAATTTTTACCAACACAGGACACAATGCAAAGTAACTCTTAGAAACTAATTTTGGACCAATATGGCCAAAACAATTATTGTGGGCTTTCAAAGCTTATCGCAGTGGGCCATTCAATAGCCTATGACATTACTCGAGAATTGCTATTTTAATAAAAAAAGCTTATCAATATCGTCTGGCTGGAGGGTTTGCAAGTTCCAAGACAAACTTCTTTGTCCTTGTGGTTTCCCTCTTAGCATAATATAAGTCGTACAAATAGCTATGAAGCACGGACACTTCATTGATGTTGGCGTACCTGTATCGGATACGATACTCGTCGAATACTCGAAGATACGTATCGGATATACCTCCTATGTATCCAATAATAATTAAATATTAGGATACTTCGCGGATACTTTTATGTTCAACCGACATATATAATTTTTGAATTGAATTTTTAACATTTCCTTTCGAATTCACATATCATACAATACATTAACAAAAATTTATACTACTTCAAAGGCACATAAGTATTTTTTAAGTATCATCTAGAATTACATGTCAAAAGAACATAAAATAAATCTATTACATTATAGTTTGAGCAAAAATTACTTCTAAATAAACCGACTGGATAAATATTAGTTTTGATTCCTTTAATTAATCACTTCACTTTGTGAATATATCATAATGATACGATATATATTTTATCGAAACTAAAAAGAATTACTAATTTTCTTTATTGTATTAAAGAATTACAAAAATATATAAATATTAAGTTAGTTGAAAATAATAAAAATATTAAACATATTTTATTATAGTCGTATTTTGACCGTACTCGTATCCTATTTTTTTAATTTTTGTCGTATCATCGTATCTGTATCCGTATCTGTATCTGTGCTTCATAGATAAATAGTGATTGTATTACACCAAGCCTACAACAATTGGAAAGAGTCTGCACGTGGCGTAAGTAGGAAAGGAGCATCCCCTCTCACTCAGGGCACATCCATCAAAGTAAATTCAACTCACCATATCTGAAGTTTGCTCAAGTACCTTTTCACATATAATCCAGTCAAANGTGCTAACGAAGTCAGGAGAGGAAAAGAGGGCTCCAGTCAATGCCCTCCTGGTCCCATTCCTAACTCAATACCAAACATACGGCTATAAATGCTTTATTATCTGAGTAGGAGCAGTAAACTATCCGCCATCACCACGTTTGAAGTGCAAGAGTTTCTTGACCCGTGTGATTCTAACTCTTTATTGGCATTTTGCCAGGTTTACATGAAAAGAGAGAGCTCTTATTTGAGTAGTGAGGCCCACAAGTGGTACAGTAGTAAAACCCAGATGATCAAAAGGAATGAATCATACATCTATATGAAAATTCAAATTACACCTCCAAAAACACTGGGGACAGTTAGAATGTCTATCAAACTCTTGTAACCATTACATTCCCTAAGGATTTCAGTTAACATGATTTTTAGTTCAAAACCTCTGATCACCCACTAATTTGTACTTTGCAGAAAATGGTAAAACACAATAGCGCAAATGATTACGTAAAATTAAGTGACAAAAAATGTTGAAAATGGATACCTGTCATCATGCCAGAATGAGTTAGCATCCAACTCAGGTAGCACAAGTGTAGCATCCATAATTCTTGCAGCAAGAACAGCATTGCAAATCTAGAACATCGGAACAAATGCTTATAATTTCATACATTGTTATATTGCAGTACCAAAAATAAATGCAGCTAAGCTGATCGTGGACTTTTATTCTAATAGGAAAACGTATGGAAGATAAATCAATATTGTTTTTTAAAACTAATTTCCAAAGATCCGGGAATATGACATTTGCTATGAGAATGAGTGTTTAACATTTCAGTGCAATAACAACTGTTATGTCTAGAGAGGATCGTCAGCAGACAGAAATCTAATGCTGCCTGAATATAGTAAGAAAGATTTTACTATTTAACAGCACATTCAATATTTATCTCCCCAAAAGTGCAATTATGGCCTTGAAGTCAATGAGTTTGCCAGAGATGTCTCTCCTATCTCCTTGGTCGGATGGTACCCATAACAAAACACCTGCCATCCCAACAAACTTCTAATGCCCTACCTTAATCTCCCATCCTCTTGACCCCTCTCACACCTATCTTGTCAGCCCATCCGTGGTTCAAATTAGGCCACTACCAGACTCTGTGTGTGTGTGCTTGTGCCTATGTCTGTTGGTCGATATCACACCTTCTAGCTCACCACTTTCTCCCTTGTGTGAATTCATNCTGTGTGTGTGTGCTTGTGCCTATGCCTGTTGGTCGATATCACACCTTCTAGCTCACCACTTTCTCCCTTGTGTGAATTCATTAAAAAAATTGGGCCACCATTGTTGAACTGACGAAGATTCAATAACATCAAACGGGAAAGATAGAAATCTCTTCCTCAAATCTTCTCACTGCAAATGCAAGGTCCTTTATCAGATAAGAATTTCAATTTGTCAAGAAAGGATGTTATCATTGGGCGTCTTTACCTTGATCTAGTTGAGAACAAATTTCTCTTAGATTCACCACTTGTGGTTTTAATTTTCCACAAAGACATAGTGATCTTGGCTTTCATCTGAATTATTTGATTATTTCTATTCTTCGGCAAAGGAAGAAAGTAAAAATCTAGAGTTGATGTCCCATAAAGTTTGATTATAAGAGATAGTGACAATGGGAGTAATGAAGAAATGAAAATTTTGTGATAAAGGAATTAAGTAAATGGTTGTCAAATGTCCATGGATACAGTGAGTAATCAGATGGTTCGGTGATAAAATGCAGCAATAATCACGAAGGAACACTTTTATTCCTTTTTCATTTATTTTGCTTTGTGATGGGGGTGGGGAGGTTTGGGGAGAGGGAAGGGAAGGTGTTGCTAGCATGGTCAAGAGAGATGATGAAACAGAAAATAACTGAATGAAGGAGAGAGAAGTGTTAGATATCCTCCAAACAGCCCTAATTTGAAGGTATAATACTTTCCCAGCTGCAACCACTTGATTCATAAATCCTTCCCCATAAATTATAATCCCAAAATATACAAGACACTTGAGTGCATATGTGAATCAGACAATACAATATTTGATGCAGTCACACATGAATCATTCATGAAAAAATCAGGTCCTGTTGTCAAGTGCACAAAAAGGATTAGAGAAATGAAAGGCATAAAGGTTTCCGACTCACTTCTTTCTCTCCCTCTCTCTCTTTCCCATGCAAACAATGTATCTTTGTGATCGTGTATATGATGTTCCTCTCTGTACGTATACGTATATGCATGCATAATCGGCCACAATGAGAAAAATGAGATGAACTTCATGGCAAAATTGAGGATTTACTACATATTTTATATAATTCAACGTTGAAAAGGATAATAATTCCCTACTAAGAAAGAGTTTGATCTCTCTCACGTGAACTTTCCAATGTATCTGAATAAGGGGACACTAAATATGCCATTCATTAGCCATCGATGTTGAGAGATGAGGAGAGGACAAACAGATTAATATAGTAAGCTTACGACAAAGAATAAGTTAACCACAAAATTAAGGCCAGATGACTTGCAGCCTGATTTTTCTGGCTAAAACCACAAAATCAGTTAAGTGAGTTTGAAGCAAGAATAAGTTACACACCGCACTACGTTGCTGATTCAAACCACCATTACATCGAACACGTAGATAGCCGTTGCTCTCATTTGGAGGAGCTGTAAAATAATTGCAATTTTGAGGGGAGACATTGAGATCTAAACTGCAAAAACTTGTATGTTTTGAACACAATGCAATAAACAGTGCACTGGCATCTATCTAATGTGAAGTACAACTGCTTACGGGGCCAATCGACACGTGGAGCAGATGACGGCCTCCAACCACCAGAAGCAGCAGTTCCCCAGAGTGTCTCTAAATCAATCTGCTTAAACATGGCAAAATAAAAATGTCAGATTTTGAAATGTGCTCATAGAATCTACTAAATCACCAGAATCAAATGAGGAAGATATAAGGGAAACCAATATTGGAACAATGTAAAATGATGTGGGTGAGGGCCTCATGATGGCTGGTCACATGTTCTACATGTAAAGCTCAATAGAATCATTCTCAAACAAAAAGACACACGATCAATTTCCTACCCCTAAATCCGCTTACAAAAATCATGAAAACTATGTTTAACAAATAATATAGGCACATACAAGCACATGCACAGACAGTCTGACATTTTAAGTTCTAGACAAATTGGACATGGGCACGATAATAACCGACAAGACATTCTTAGACACGAGATTACAGTGATCTGCGGCAATACCATCAGTAACTACTTTTTTTACCATTATCATAAATTTTGCATCTTATGACTCATAACAGTCCATAATTAGCCACGTCAAATTTCAAAACAATTGTAACACTGCAGTAAAGTGCTAGCCTATTTGAAGGAAGAAGGGAAGATTGCATTAGGGGTTAGAAACTTCATCATTGCAGATAAATAATCACCCAGATTGTACAGATAAAGACACAACCAGAATATACCCTATGTAACATGTATGTATATATGAACTTCAAATTCATCGAATCTCCATATCCAAAGATACTTTGAAACAGAAAAACCTTCATCTTTTTATTGTTAATTTNAATATGCCATTCATTAGCCATCGATGTTGAGAGATGAGGAGAGGACAAACAGATTAATATAGTAAGCTTAAGACAAAGAATAAGTTAACCACAAAATTAAGGCCAGATGACTTGCAGCCTGATTTTTCTGGCTAAAACCACAAAATCAGTTAAGTGAGTTTGAAGCAAGAATAAGTTACACACCGCACTACGTTGCTGATTCAAACCACCATTACATCGAACACGTAGATAGCCGTTGCTCTCATTTGGAGGAGCTGTAAAATAATTGCAATTTTGAGGGGAGACATTGAGATCTAAACTGCAAAAACTTGTATGTTTTGAACACAATGCAATAAACAGTGCACTGGCATCTATCTAATGTGAAGTACAACTGCTTACGGGGCCAATCGACACGTGGAGCAGATGACGGCCTCCAACCACCAGAAGCAGCAGTTCCCCAGAGTGTCTCTAAATCAATCTGCTTAAACATGGCAAAATAAAAATGTCAGATTTTGAAATGTGCTCATAGAATCTACTAAATCACCAGAATCAAATGAGGAAGATATAAGGGAAACCAATATTGGAACAATGTAAAATGATGTGGGTGAGGGCCTCATGATGGCTGGTCACATGTTCTACATGTAAAGCTCAATAGAATCATTCTCAAACAAAAAGACACACGATCAATTTCCTACCCCTAAATCCGCTTACAAAAATCATGAAAACTATGTTTAACAAATAATATAGGCACATACAAGCACATGCACAGACAGTCTGACATTTTAAGTTCTAGACAAATTGGACATGGGCACGATAATAACCGACAAGACATTCTTAGACACGAGATTACAGTGATCTGCGACAATACCATCAGTAACTACTTTTTTTACCATTATCATAAATTTTGCATCTTATGACTCATAACAGTCCATAATTAGCCACGTCAAATTTCAAAACAATTGTAACACTGCAGTAAAGTGCTAGCCTATTTGAAGGAAGAAGGGAAGATTGCATTAGGGGTTAGAAACTTCATCATTGCAGATAAATAATCACCCAGATTGTACAGATAAAGACACAACCAGAATATACCCTATGTAACATGTATGTATATATGAACTTCAAATTCATCGAATCTCCATATCCAAAGATACTTTGAAACAGAAAAACCTTCATCTTTTTATTGTTAATTTATCTGATTTTCTTATCAATCAAACAGACTCTATCAAAAACTTATTAAATTACTTCTAAGGACAATTCGATTTCAGCAAATCTAAGTCAACACAAAAAACCAAAAAAACAAAACATAATTCATAGACACAATCAAATGACCTTAGATCCGAAGACTGATCCATTGTAGCTCTTAGTCGACAACAATGAGAGAGTACAAATCACGAGTACAATAACAGCAATTGAAACCCTCCCAAACATGCCCTTAACTCCGCCACTTAGTTGCTTCGGCTGGTGCTGCCGATGCCCTCCTCTTCTGAACATCACTCCTCCATCTCCAGGTCTGCAAATTCACATTCAATTTCCGCACATAGACACAAATATGATGTGTGTGTGTGTATAGGGAGAGAGAGAGAGATTGGATGTGTACCTTCTCATCTGTGACGAATGCAGAGAGATCCAGTTCTCGGACGGAGTTCTACCAGTGGAAGTGAACTGAATCAATCAATCAAGCAAGGCTCATTTTCAATGATGGAGTATTGGAGAGAGTTTTGGGATCAGAGCATAATAATAAAAAATAAAGGGTAAATTTTATAATTATTCCTTAAATTTTATATCTCCAACTTTTTCATTATCTTAATTTAGTCCCTTAATTATATAATTAAATCATCCTATCAATTTTTATCATTAGAACAAATGATAATACATAGCATGACAAAAAAGTGGACTTAAACTCTGTTTGTTCTAACAAAAATAGACGAAAATATTTTATTGCCATAAAATTAATAATTAAAATAATTAAAAGTTAGGAACCATTCATATTTACATACAAATTTATATACTAAGGGAGTTAATAGTTTAAATATTATTTTCATATATTTTTTCACTTATTTTTACTTTATGTATAAATAATGAGTATTGTTTCGATAAATGAGTTTATTAATATCTGAAATCATTAGTTTACTCTCGTCTACCTGAATAATTGGTCTCAATTCAAGAGAAAGAACCGGTAATAAACACAAACCATCTTGTCTGGTTCTATATTTATTCGAATAAAATACTTAACTAATTCCATGCATTTAACCAAAAAATTCATTCTTCTTCCAACTTTTCGATTTTCTCGTTCATTTCCTGCGGATCTTGCTTCCCCTAATTATTTAAGTTTTACTAATGAATAATCGAAAATAATTAGTAAATCTAAATCGGCTGATTATTCCTGGATAACACCGGCTTCAATAGAGATCGCCTGATTTCAAAATGTATCGAAGCCTTAGGTATTAAAAAAGGTGGAATGTTGTATTTACAAGATTAAATTTCATATTCAAATAAACTTCATAATTGTAAGAAAGCTACTCCGTATTTCAAGTTCTCAGCAAAGAACAAGCAAGATTTCATTGATTCATTCTTCCTTTTTTAGTTCGATTTTCTGAATTTTTTATTCAATTATGACATAAAATGAAATGTGAAATTCTTGAACAGTCTACTTTCCCTCGAATGATGAATCCCTTAATTCTTAATTCAAATTAAAGGAGTATGTTAGAATTCATAAGATAGGGATATTGCCATAAAATTAATAATTAAAACAATTAAAATTTAGGAACCATTTATATTTACATAAAAGTTTATATCATAAGGAAGTTAGAAGTTTAAATATTATTTCCATATATTTTTTTTTATCGTATAAATCCATTTTATGGCATTTAATTTTTAATTAATTTGTTATTCAATACAATTTTTATTTTAGACATTATTTATATATGATATTATATACTGATATTTTTTTGAGGTCCTGAATTTTGATAAAATTTTATTAATTTTAAAATTTATTTTATGTTATATCATGGGTTCGGATACATGTTATAGATAGGAATGATAGAATTTGAGCGTGGCCCAAGATTTAGCCCAAATTAGTGACGGGCCATCCCAATGGCCTAGATGAGTCACAACCTGGCTGGTGTAGGCGCACCTGACTATACTAGTGCAACTTGAGGTGTAGGTTTTAGGTTTTTGACATCCTAGCCCAATGCATTTCTTCAAACACAGATATTTAGTTGTGGATATTTTTTTTAGAATTTATTTGATTTTAATTTTCTTATTTAGACTCATACTGTATTAAGTCATATTTTTTCATCAAATAATTATTAAATGCATTTTCAACCATGACTCAAATTTGAGTAAAAACCTCAATTTAGTATAGAGTATTTCAATGGACAAATTCAAATACCTACTCAAATCTTTTAAAAAAATGTTCTTATTGTCCAAAAACTCATTTTTTGTGTCATTCAAATTATGATATTTGATTAAATAAATGAAATTTTTATATCTTTCCACAAATGGGTAATTCAAAATTTTTTTTTTTAATATATATACAACACTATATGAGAATAACAAAACAACCTAAGAATTCTAAGATTGTTTTAATCATTTATTATTTTTTATAAATCTAGATAAATAAAAAAATATAATTATTTTGATATGGGTCTGGTCTAAAAAACACAAAAACATACGTTTTTAACAAAAATGGAAGATTACAGAAATAAAATGACGAATTTTCTAAATTTGTGTGTAAGGCTTAATATTTCATAAAGAATCGATGGCCTGAAATTGTACTATCGATAATGTTTAACTTAAAAAAATCAAAGAAAAATTTGATAAGTAACCTTAGGATTTATATAGTATAAAAAATAAGTGACATTAGCGTTGTAAAAAATATAAGAAATTAAGAAANCTCCAACTTTTTCATTATCTTAATTTAGTCCCTTAATTATATAATTAAATCATCCTATCAATTTTTATCATTAGAACAAATGATAATACATAGCATGACAAAAAAGTGGACTTAAACTCTGTTTGTTCTAACAAAAATAGACGAAAATATTTTATTGCCATAAAATNCCCCAACTTTTTCATTATCTTAATTTAGTCCCTTAATTATATAATTAAATCATCCTATCAATTTTTATCATTAGAACAGATGATAATACATAGCATGACAAAAAAGTGGACTTAAACTCTGTTTGTTCTAACAAAAATAGACGAAAATATTTTATTGCCATAAAATTAATAATTAAAATAATTAAAAGTTAGGAACCATTCATATTTACATACAAATTTATATACTAAGGGAGTTAATAGTTTAAATATTATTTTCATATATTTTTTCACTTATTTTTACTGTATGTATAAATAATGAGTATTGTTTCGATAAATGAGTTTATTAATATCTGAAATCATTAGTTTACTCTCGTCTACCTGAATAATTGGTCTCAATTCAAGAGAAAGAACCGGTAATAAACACAAACCATCTTNTGCTAAGGGAGTTAATAGTTTAAATATTATTTTCATATATTTTTTCACTTATTTTTACTTTATGTATAAATAATGAGTATTGTTTCGATAAATGAGTCTATTAATATCTGAAATCATTAGTTTACTCTTGTCTATCTGAATAATTGGTCTCAATTCAAGAGAAAGAACCGGTAATAAACACAAACCATCTTGTCTGGTTCTATATTTATTCGAATAAAATACTTAACTAATTCCATGCATTTAACCAAAAAATTCATTCTTCTTCCAACTTTTCGATTTTCTCGTTCATTTCCTGCGGATCTTGCTTCCCCTAATTATTTAAGTTTTACTAATGAATAATCGAAAATAATTAGTAAATCTAAATCGGCTGATTATTCCTGGATAACACCGGCTTCAATAGAGATCGCCTGATTTCAAAATGTATCGAAGCCTTAGGTATTAAAAAAGGTGGAATGTTGTATTTACAAGATTAAATTTCATATTCAAATAAACTTCATAATTGTNTCTTCTCATTCATTTCCTGCGATCTTGCTTCCCCTAATTATTTAAGTTTTACTAATGAATAATCGAAAATAATTAGTAAATCTAAATCAGCTGATTATTCCTGGATAACACCGGGCTTCAATAGAGATCTCCTGATTTCAAAATGTATTGAAGCCTTGGGTATTAAAAAAAGTGGAATGTTGTATTTACAAGATTAAATTTCATATTCAAATAAACTTCATAATTGTAAGAAAGCTACTCCGTATTTCAAGTTCTCAGCAAAGACCAAGCAAGATTTCATTGATTCATTCTTCCTTTTTTAGTTCGATTTTCTGAATTTTTTATTCAATTATGACATAAAATGAAATGTGAAATTCTTGAACAGTCTACTTCCCCTCGAATGATGAATCCCTTAATTCTTAATTCAAATTAAAGGAGTATGTTAGAATTCNACCAAGCAAGATTTCATTGATTCATTCTTCCTTTTTTAGTTCGATTTTCTGAATTCTTTATTCAATTATGACATAAAATGAAATGTGAAATTCTTGAACAGTCTACTTTCCCTCGAATGATGAATCCCTTAATTCTTAATTCAAATTAAAGGAGTATGTTAGAATTCATAAGATAGGGATATTGCCATAAAATTAATAATTAAAACAATTAAAATTTAGGAACCATTTATATTTACATAAAAGTTTATATCATAAGGAAGTTAGAAGTTTAAATATTATTTCCATATATTTTTTTTCACTTATTTTATCGTATCAATCCATTTTATGGCATTTAATTTTTAATTAATTTGTGATTCAATACAATTTTTATTTTAGACATTATTTATATATGATATTATATACTGATATTTTTTTGAGGTCCTGAATTTTGATAAAATTTTATTAATTTTAAAATTTATTTTATGTTATATCATGGGTTCGGATACATGTTATAGATAGGAATGATAGAATTTGAGCGTGGCCCAAGATTTAGCCCAAATTAGTGACGGGCCATCCCAATGGCCTTAGATGAGTCACAACCTGGCTGGTGTAGGCGCACCTGACTATACTAGTGCAACTTGAGGTGTAGGTTTTAGGTTTTTGACATCCTAGCCCAATGCATTTCTTCAAACACAGATATTTAGTTGTGGATATTTTTTTTAGAATTTATTTGATTTTAATTNTGTTACTACAATTTTTGGTTTTGTCACTGTTGATTGTGTGCATTTATGTCCAAGTTTTCCGAGTTTCTCTTTGGGTGATGCTGATAGAATAGAACATCTCGGTCTTTGGGTAATGCTATTTAAAAATTAAATTCTTGTGCGGCTGTTTGATGTCCTTGATAGCTTATTTGATGACTTTCGTTAAAACTATCCTATTGGATGACAACTTTATTTTGAATGATTTCTTTTTATTTATGTGACCTTTTAATTGCAATATTTCCTTTTTCTTGATTATCTATATGAGATTGATTTGCTTTTTAATTTATGTATGGATACATGTGTTGCATGTGAATAGGTTAAATCTTAGCAGTTTAATAATGGTGGTCTAAGGATTAGTGAGTCATGATTATTGTTTTTTTTTTGTTTGAAATAATATGTATGTGAAAATTTTGGGTAATATTAATATAGGAGCAAGATCACTGATGAACCTAGA